TCAGTTTTCTTACGCAAATTTACATCTGTAATATTAGGTAGAAAAGGTTTCATTTCCTTATATATTTTTGATCTTGCCGTTTTATCTTTAATCTTACCATCTGCTGTAAGGCTTTTAATCTTATTTTCGAATTCTAAAGAATAATAACACCAACATAAAATTTGTTTCTGACCTGATTTAATTGCTTTATCAAATAAGTCTGATAAACTTTGTACAGAGCCCGGAATCATATCCTGTATACAAGACTTATTCGAAGATATAGAGTTGATTTCGAGAGAAACAATACTTTGTGTTTGATTACAGGTTATTTCTTGTATTAAACCTTCTACAATTTGATTGTCGGATTCAGATATTTCAATAGAGATAATATCAGAATTGTCAAGCACATAATTTTGATCGTGACATTTTGTCACGGTTTTTACATCACATGATTGAGGTATCATCTTTTCAGATTTCATTTGATTAACTAAAGATAAATCTTGTTCTCGAAGCTTTTTTTCCTTTATGCTCTGAATTATCTCTTCACTAACCTTTTCCTTATACTTTGAATCCAGAAATTCATCGATCTCCTTATCTTCTAATGATGCGGGTTCAGCTTTTAGCTGGCTTAGGTTGACGCTGACACTATATTTCTTATCAGAGAGATCTTTGATAGGCAGTGAATTGGAGGATGTCCCTCTAGTGCTCCTTTGGGCCTCAAGGGTTACCGGTGATTCTAAACAAGCTGAGGACTGCGAAATATCTTCAATAAGAGATGCATCCTGTTCATTAATATTAACTCAGGTTTGCAGTTTGATTTCCTCGATGTCATGTCTTAATTTCGTTACTTCAGCTTTAAGTTTAGCATTCTCAGCTTTACGCTTGGAATTCTCAGCCTCAAGATCAGATTTTTCTTTTATGGTCTGCCTAAGTTTCGCATTTTCAGCCTCAAGCTTAGCGATACGGTTTTTCAACAAATCAAATTCGGAATGCATGTTCGATAATATTTTTATAAGATATATATTTGTTCAAAACTTATTTAATAAAATCACTTTTACCAAGAAATATTTTTGTTTCAAAGAGGCGCACTTTTGCCAAGAAAAATCTTTGATCATATGCGAGTTAACATACATCGATATCAATACAATAAAATAAATTCACAAAATATACACACAAAAGTAAACATGATTCTGTATGCGAAGTCGACCACCAGGGCCAGCTTTATTAATAATTGACTATACAGCAATAATAATGACATGCTAAAAAATAACATAATAAACTACAGCACTTGTTTTGTTCGATCCACACCCTTTACCAAACCAACATACAGTACATGCTATCACATATTCATTAAATTTTATAATCAATAATCTTACTACTCCTCCATCTTGTATACCATCGGATCCATGCGTTTAATTATCTCCATTTTTTCTTGATTTCCTCCCATCGCGGGATCAACCCAAGC